TAGAATAGAATAGAATAGATATTGGAATGAAGAGAATGGAATGGAATAGAATAGAATAGAATAGAATAGAATAGAATAGAATAGAATAGAATAGCGGAAGGGACCTTGGAGGTCTTCTAGTCGAACCCCCTGGTTAGACAGGAGACCCTGTATCATAGAGAGGACTGGACTAGACGCTGGAAGGGACCTTGGAGGTCTTCTAGTCCAGCCCTTTGCTCAAGCAGGACAATCTATACCATCTCGGACATGTGACTGTCCAGTCTCTTCTTAGAAACTGCCCCACACATTATCCCCTAGGGAACACATAGAAGGTGGGCAGGGAGGCGAAGGGGCAGAACATTTGGGCTGCTTCTTGCTTTTTTTAAGGAGTTGCATTTTACACTAAACCTGGTTTGGGTTTCAGCTTTGATTGTTCGTTCATTTAAACTGTGATTGATGACACACAGCCCATGAAGGTGATCAATTGGAGAATCCGGTTTAGGAGACACCCGGGGGGGAGGGAGAGGGAAAACAGGGTCCCAGGGGAGTGTAAATGACATAGGCCAGAGTTGGCTTCATGCAGGGCAGGGCCAGTAGGTCGCCTCTAATGGATCCTTGGAAGTTTTTTGAAGTTTGGCTCGAGAATCACGATTTCATTAGGGCGATTGCTGGAATCCTGACAACCTGGACATAAGCAGTGAGGGTCTCCACTAGGGATCCTGCCCACCCATCATTACCTGGAGAGATCCCAAGGCTGCAGGGAGCGTCAGAGGGGGAGCTTCCTTTCTGGCATCAACGAGGATGACCACCGCCTGGTCGTGGGAACGCTTCCTGCATGGTGGAATAAAACAAAGTGACGTAGACTCCCAAGCGGAGACGGACTTCATGGCTATCTCTGTTGACCCAAAGGTGCTTTTTTTTTTTTTCCCAAGAGACAACTGGGTTTTCTTGTTTCTTCTTTTGAAGTCGTTTCACTTCTCATCCAAGAAGCTTCTTCAACTCTGACAGGACAGTGGGGAAGGGAAGGATTTATGCTCCTTGAAGACAGCTGGCCATTTGCCTCCTTTGAGAGGGTCGTTGAGACCACCTGGAGGTTCATCTGTGTCCTCAGGGTCACCTGAGTGGTGCAAATGGGTGTGTGGAGCTTTCTTGGCTGCAGGATGTTTTTTTTCTGTCCTCTGTCCTGCAGCCAAGAAGGCTCCACACCCATTTGCACCACCCAGGTTCCAACTGTCCGGTCAGAGCTGAAGAAGCTTCTTGGATGAGAAGCGAAACGTCTTCAAAGAAAACCAAGAAAGTTCAGTTGCCTCTTGAAAAAGCACCTCTGGGGCAACCATGACCTGGAGGGATGAGAAGCTCCCTAGATTTTTAGACATGCAGTTTGGGATAAAGACCCTTTTGGAAGGGATGGTTGTAGGAATAGATTTTCAGAGGGGCAAAAACTGCAGACTACTGGAACCATTAGCGCCACTCAAGTGACCCTGAGGACACAGACAAACCTCCAAGCGGCCTCAAGGACCCTCAAAAAGGATGCAAATGACCAGCTGCTGTCTGCAAGGAATATCAATCCTTCCATCCTCCACCTTTTGGTCAGAACTGAAGAAGCTTCTTGGGTGAGAAGCGACTTCAAGGGGGGGAGGGAAATCAAGTAAATCCAGCTGTCTTTTGGGAAAGCGCCTTTGGAACAACTGTGACCTGGGTGATGGGGAATCTCCATAGACAAGATGCAGAGTTGTCTGCAAGGGGTGTAAATCTTTCCCTTCTCCACCCTCCAGTCAGAGCTGAAGAAGCTTCTTGGATGAGAAGCGAAACATCTTCAAAACAACAACAACAACAACAACAACCAGGAAGTCCAGTGGCCTCCTGAAAATTGCACCTTTGGGACAACCCGGACTTGGAGGATGGAGAAGACTTTCTATTTATGTTGAGTTTCCTTGGTGGTGGTCCCTTCGGGGGTCTTCTAGGATGGTTTCCTGTCTTCCTGCTCTAACCAACAACCGTTCAAATTTCCTAGTGGTCTCCCATCCTTTTACAGCTAGGTAAAATGGAGCTGGTACTGCCCCCTGCTGTGCACAAAGTGAATTAAGAGGGATTGGAAGAGAATTTCTGGAGGGGGCAGCAAGGGGAGTTGGGGGAATTTAGAACTTGGGGAGACGTGGATGGAGATTCTCAGCCATCCAGGTCACGATTGTCCCAAAGGAGGCAACTAGACTTTCTTGTTTCTCCTTTGGAAGACGTTTCCCTTCTCATCCGAGAAGCTTCTTCAGCTCTTGACTGGTTGGTGGGGAAGGGAAGGATTTCTACTCCTTGCAGACAGCTGGTCATTTGCATCCTTTCAGGGGGTCGTTGAGGCCGCTTGGAGGTTTTACTTATGTCCCGGGCGTTACCTGAGTGGTGCCAATGGATGTGTGGAGCTTTTGTCATGCCCCTGGTGGAGTCTGACTCTGAGGAAGAGGAGGAACAGCCAACAGGGAGTGGAAGTGCGGCTCCAGAGGTGGTGGAGGAGGCTGGGGAAGGGCAGAGGCCGGCTGAGCAGCCAGAGGAGGATCCAGGCTCATCCCCTCTCCATCCTAGGGCACGCAGGGAGGAGAGGATCAGGGAAAAGCGAGGTCTACTCAGGAGGAGATTGCCATGATCCTCCTCATGGCTTGCAGCTGGGAGCAATGTATATAACTTTGCAACTGCGTAGGCAGAATTGCTGGAGTCAAAGTTTATTGTTCTTTGAAAGAGGTTTATCTTTGCTGGCGTTCTTCCCATGGACTCTCCTCGGTTATTTTCCTGGAATGTATGATTAATTATCTTGGCTTGCTTCGGAACTCTCATCCATGCGGTTTGTTTTGGTTTCCTTTTTGCCTCGTTATTTACTTTTGTGACTTTAAACTGTGCCTAATAAAACAGTGAAGTTAAGTGGAAGGCTTTACCGGACTTTCATCTATGTTTTGGGTTTGGGGTTCTTTTGAGAGGCTACGGGTCATCCAAACCTTCTTCAGATCTGTCTCACTGCATTGTACAGTGTACCCCACAGATAAAACACCCAGACCCCAAACCGAGCAACATGGTATAGGCAGTACAACGCAGTGAGACATGTGCAGATCTGTACACTGGGGAAACCAAACGGCCACTTCACCAACGCGTGGCGCAACATAGGAGAACAAACGCATCAGGACGAGATTCAGCCGCCCATCTGCATTTAGAAGACAACAGTCACTCTTCTGAGGACAGCAAAATCCACATTTTGGACAGAGAGGAGTGCTGGTTTGGAAGCAGGGCCCAAAAGGACATCTAGTCCAAACTGAACAGCCCTCCCTCAACAGAGGAGGAGTAGGGGTACGACCACATCTATCTCCAGCCTACAACACCATCCTTTCAGCAGCTCCAAGAAGGCTCCACACCCATTTCCACCACTCAGGTGACCCCGAGGACACAGATAAACCTCCAGGTGGAGTTTCCACCTCTATCCTATACCTTTCTCCCTAAGCAGGAATTGGGGACAAATACATGGAGAAAGGGACGGTCTGTGAAAATTCGCCGCGGCCTACTCTCCACAGCCAACTCACAATAGCCACGTTGGCACAAGTCGCTGCAGGTTAGGAGTTGCACTAATGTGGTGGAATCGAATCATTAAAGAATTGGTGCAAAAGCAAGGGACCCATGAAATGTGAACGACAAAAATAAAATAAAATATTATCTGTATTTATTTAAAACAAGCTTGATACCTGTGCTTTGCTATGAAACTATGTGGTGGGGCTCAGTTTTTAGGGAGGAAAATAAGGGAGGGGGGAATTCTGCCTCTGCCTACCGGCATCTATGGGTATTCATCTGGCTAGCATCTTGTCAGTGTGTGAGAGAATTGAGGGCTGTTTGGAAACTGAAGCAGTATTTTCTATGTGAGCAAGAAGGAGACAGCAAGGAGCCTTGACGTGGCTTAGCTCAACTGTTCTGGACTAAAGCTGGTTGGTGCTGTGAAATGGAAACGGAAACTCCTCTGCTTGTGTTTTGCATTTGGAACAGTTTTTTTTTTTCAGGTGGGGAGTGGGAACTCCTTAGCATCAGAGCGTGTTAATAATAATAACATAGCAAATACTCTAAATGGTCTGATGGTCATTTGGAAAAAATCCTTTCTTAGTGAGCCCCTCTAGAAGCCAAGAGGAACTTATGGGCCAAATTTCAAGTTTGTAGGCTTGACGGTTCTGGAGATTTTGTGATGATGCCTGAGGGGCCTTTCGCTTTTATAGAGAGAGATAATAATTAAATTGGATTGTTAGCTTGTCCCACAGTGAGTTGGTTGTGGTGAGTTGTCCCATTCCATAAAGGGAAGCCGCCTTGTTCCCTGCTCCTCTGAAGACTCAGCTCCACTTCAACGGTGGAGAGAGCCCATTGGAGAACACTTGGGCCATCTCATGCCCTGCCAGGACATCCGGAGGGGTGGCAGAATGAGAAAAAGGAAGGTGCTTCCTTCAAAATCGAAGTCGCTTTCTCTCGTTTACTGGGAACAGGCATCGGGAGGGGCAAACAGGCTGCAAAGGGGGCGGCCCCCCTCACCTATATGGAGGGCGGGGAGGGGATCTCACCAGTCTTGACTTCCTCCCATCGTCTTGGCCTCCTTTCCTCTCGAATGGCTTACCTGGCCATGGAGCAAAGGCAGAGGAGAAGCCGTGCCACCTCTTTGGCGGAGATCCCAGGGTCCTGCCAGACTCCTCCGTTTTGGGGGATTTCAACCACGGGCCTCCCGAGCTTGTCCACGCTGCCTGAAATTTGAGAGGTCACGTTAAACCACGCAGGAGTCCAGGGCTCTCCAAAACATGGTCACTTTTAAGACTGGTGGACTTCAACTCCCAGAATTCCCCAGCCTCAGAGAGCACCAAGGACCCCACACTCCTCCTCCCCCTCTCCCTCCTCCTCTTCCTCCTCCTCCTCTCCACACCTCAGTCCCTTCCAGCACTGATGTTGTTCCCTAGTTGGGTCATGAAATGTCTGCAAGAAAACAACCAAACTCAAGAGAGCCCCATGAACCCCTCAGTCTGAAAGTGGCCAAAATTTGGAGATCGTTGCATGAGTTGTAAAAAAAACACTCCAAAATGTTGCACCTTACAGAGCATCCCAATTTACCAACTGTTGTACATTTACCCCACTTTGGAAGGGGAAACGTAGCAGGGATGACACGAAGAAGATGCTTGGTAAGGAAAAATGCTCAGGGCAAATGCTCTCCTTAATTAGAACAATTAACCAGTGGAACTGCTTGTGTCCAGAAGTTGTGGGCACTCCATCACTGGAGGTTTTTAAAGAAGAGATTGGACAGTCAATTATTTGAAATGGTGTAGGGTTTCCTGCCTAAGCACGGGGTTTGACTAGAAGACCTCCAAGGTCCCATCCAGCCCCTAGGATTCTATGATTCTGAGATAGATGATAGATAGATAGATAGATAGATAGATAGATAGATAGATAGATAGATAGATAGATAGATAGATAGATAGATAGATAGATACTGGTAGAGATGAAGATAGAGAGATAGAGAGAGACAGACAGACAGAGATGAAGATAGAGTAAGGTAAGATAAGGTAAGATAAAATAAGATAAAATAAGAGATGGAAGGAGGGAAGGAGTGAACAAGGAAGGACAGAAGAAAAGGAAGGAAGGAAGGAAGGAAGGAAGGAAGGAAGGAAGGAAGGAAGGAAGGAAGGAAGGAAGGAAGGAAGGAAGGAAGGAAGGAAGGAAGGAAGGAAGGACGAGCTTGCCTCCAGAAGTTACAGAGCCCCTGATTATGACATCGAACATGTAAACAAGCTAAATTCACTACTAACATGGACAGCATCCTGCCCACATGCTTTTATCTTTCTTGGTGACTTCAATCTACCTCATATTAACTGGACCCTAAACGAATGTACAACTGCAACCTTCTACAATGCAGTAACAAATCTGGGACTGGAACAACTAGTAACCAACAACACTAGACTTAACAACTGCCTTGATATCATCTTCTGCAATAGTTTGAATTTAATTTATGGAATACAAATTAAAGAACCCTTTTCCAACAGTGACCACAACATGATTGACTTTTGTCTCAACATACGCCCACACAAAAATCATCATAATGACAAAATCCCCAATTATAACTTCAAAAAAGGCAACTATGATCTTATAGACAATGATCTCTCATCCCTTGCTTGGCAATTTCTATTCACTGGATGCAATACTGTTGAAGACCATTACAACATATTTTTACTTGAAGTCAAAAGAGTCATCAAACTATATGTACCAACAACAACTCCCAAAACAAACAAAAAACAAAATAAAACAGATTACCCATAACAATAAGGAAGCTTCAGTCCAAAAAGAGATCACTTTGGTGAAAAAACAAATCTGGTCACATTGCCAATTTCAAAATCCAATACAAAAATCTATGCCACCAGATAAAAACTGAATGCACTAATTATCACATTAAACAAGAGGAAAACCTTCTACACACAAATTCCACCCACGCTTTCTACAATTTTGTAAACAACAAACTAAAAGACTCAAGGTCCATCCCACCCCTGATAGGACCTAATGGTAAAGACTGCAACGATGACACCATCAAAGCAAACCTCTTTAACTCATTCTTTGGCTCAGTATTTGTAAACAGCCATGGATCATGCCCAGTATTTCCTAGCTGAACCACAGACAACTACAATGATCTAATACATATCGATTTTACAGAAGACAATGTTGAAAAAGCACTACACAATCTAAAATCATCTCTATCTATTGGACCGGAGGGAATATGTGCCTACTTATTAAAAAAGCTATCCACTGCCATAGCCAAACCTCTAAGCATAATCTTTGAAAAATCTTTCAGAACCAGCTCCTTGCCTAACCTATGGTCACAAGCCACGGTCATCCCCATCTTCAAAAAGGGAGACCCAAGCCTAGTTGAAAATTACAGACCAATCTCTTTATGCTGCATCACCTGTAAAGTCATGGAATCAATTATTAACCAATCCATCATCCTCCATTTAGAGACAAACAACCTACTCTCCAATAAACAATTTGGTTTCAGAAAAAAACTATCCTGTAATCTGCAACTCTTGTAAGCAATTGACAAATCAAATAAATATTAAATACTAAAATACTAAATACTAAAGTCGTGGGAGCTTCATTACTGGAGGCTTTCAAGAAGAGACTGGACAGCCCCTTGTGTCTGAAATGGGATAAGGTCCCCTGCTTGAGTAGGGGGTGGACCAGATGACCTGCAAGGTCCCGTCCAAGTCTGTTATAGGTGGGCTGCAAATTATGTGAGGCAGCGCTGACTTCATTTGGGTACGTGCTGACATGTTGCTCCAAATAAATAACTGGATTTCTTTTGAAACTTGGCTCGGAAAACCCTGATAGTGAGCCAGGTTGAGAAACACTGATCCCAGAGAGATTTGTAAGCTAAGGATCTACTCTTCCCAAATCTTTCTCAGCTCAACTCTCCGGCCACCAACCCAACTGGACCAGCTGGGAGATTTCGACAGGAAAAACAGCTCTCGGACAATCCTGGAGCTGTTTCCCACTCAGGGTACCTGGCAGACGGGCAATCCCCGAAGATAAAAGCTCGGAGTTGAGCAGATCCCACGGGACCGACGCGGAGGGACTCGATCCCAGGACGAGCGGCTCGTTGATCGAGGTATCGGTGCTGGAGGAAGTTACGCCAACAGCGTCCACATTCAGGGATCTGGAAAGTTCCCCGAATGCAACTTCGGTCTGACTGGAACCTGGGAGAGAAATGGATCTTATTTATTCATTTATTGGCTTATTCATTTATTTATTCACTTATATATCTATTCATTCATTCATTTGCAAACCATCTCACAGATAAGTGACTCTGGGCAGCTGATAAACCTCATTAACAACAGGGGGACACAATATTAATAACTTATATATTTAAATACAGTGTTTCTCAGCCTTGGAAGTTGAAGGTGATAGATTTCAACTCCCAGAATTCTACCCATCTTCCAAGTTTCCCAAGGCTGAGAAATTGACCAGGCTGGGGAATTCTGGGAGATGAAATCCACCGATCTTCAAGTTGCTAGTTGCGGCAAACATTGTCTTAGAAAATGCTAGGGAGAATTGGGGTGGGGGCTGAAGACAATGCTTCCCTTGAGGGGGAGGTCGCCGAGTAACACCCCCTCCCCTTCCTGGGGGCCTGCTTGCCCCCAACCCTCAGGAGATTTTGCAAGGGCTCCCTTGCTGGAGATCTTAACGTTGGCCATTAGGCGGTTTGAGTTAATCAGCGCCTGCGGATGTTACTCATCGATTTTATATTTAAAGTTCTTTTTATCGGCCATTTAAGTTGCATTTGTTGAG